ACGCCGCCAAGGGGACGTGCCGCGCGTGGCGCCGCGGCTGGAAGGAGACGCTGAGGACGCGCGATAGGCCACGCCTGCTCGTGATCGGCGGCTACGGCGAAGGGGGCAGTAACATCAGCTCTCTGGAGCGGTACGACCCGTCAACGAATGAGTGGGAGGAGGAGGCTATGGCGCCGATGCCTACGGCACGAAAGTTTGTCCGCACGGCGGTGCTCGATGGCAAGCTCTACGCGGCGGGCGGCGAGACGGGCGGCGAGACCGAGGCCGACAACGCACCTTCCAACTTGGTGGAGTGGTACGACCTGGCGGCGAAGACATGGGAGACGGTGGTGGCGATGGCGGAGGCTCGGTATGCTCCTGCCGTCGCGGTGCTGGACGGCAAGCTGTACGCGGTGGGCGGGCAGGATGCCGACGACAGCCTCCTCAGCTCGGTGGAGCGGTACGATCCCGCCACAAACGCGTGGGAGGCTGTGGCTCCGATGGCGGCGGCGCGAGCTGTTGTCGGCGTGGCGGTGCTCGACGGCAAGCTGTATGCTGTTGGAGGCTACGGCGCCGGCGCCCTCAGCTCGGTCGAGCGGTACGATCCCGCGACGAACGCGTGGGAGGCGGTGGCGTCGATGGTGACATCACGCGAGAACCACGCCGTGGCGGTGCTCGACGGCAAGCTGTATGCTGTGGGCGGCTACTATCGTGGCTACCTCACCTCGGTGGAGCGGTACGATCCCGCGACGAACGCGTGGGAGGCGGTGGCGCCGATGGCGACGGCACGGTATAATCACGCCATGGCGGTGCTCGACGGCAAGCTGTATGTCGCAGGCGGATTGGGTGCAGGTGCTGGTCACAGTCCCCTCAGCTCGGTGGAGCGGTACGACCCGGCGTTGGGTGCGTGGGAGGCGGTGGCGCCGATGGCGGCGGCGCGGGTCCTCGCTGTCTTGATGTAGACGGCTCTGCTCGACTGTTTCGCGTAAAAAACAAATCGTCGCTGATAGCGGCTTCGACCTTCGTCGCGGAGCTCTCGGACGCGGCCGCCGGCGCGGCGCGCTTCGTTGGGGTGCAGCGTGGCGCGCGCGGCGCGGCCGCGAGGGACCGCGGGAGGAGGCTAGTGGGATGGGGGGCTCTAAGGGAGGTAGCCCGCAAAGCCCCGTTCCACCTTGCGGGTATATGATATTACTCACCCCTTTATTTGCCCAAGACGTGCAACGACAACGGCGTCAAGGTGTGCGGCGCAGCGGCGTGGGAGCGTGGGTGACGTGGTTTTCGGAACTGACAGTCTCTCACAGACGCGGCGCATTCCTCATAGCCGCTCTCCTCACCGAGCTCGTCGTCACGCGAGAAGACCGAGAGAAATATGTGAAAATTGCTGTTCCAGCGATCACCGGCCAAGCGAACAGCAGCGCAGGCACCAGAGTTGCTTCGACGTACAAGCGCAGATCAAACCACGGGCTTACACCTTCTGCCTCGTTCGCTGCACACGGCGAACCAGAGGTGCTGCCGGCTGACTGCGGTAGCGAGCTCGACGGTGGCGCGGCACCCAGTTGGCCGCGCTGCCGAGAAATGTCCTCCAAGAAAAAGAATTTCCAAAAAACGCCGCGCCGCCCCTGCGACCCCTGTGTCAGTGTGCCTGTGGTTGCGAGAGACTGCCAGTGAGAAGCTGGAGGCAGGTCGCTAGACTGAGCTGAAACCGCCAGTGGAGTTGGGAGTCCCACCGGGTTGACCCCAGAGAAGGAGAGGAGCGGCCATAACAGGTGTTATGACTGTTATGGCTGGCTGCTCATAACACCCCATAACACCTCATAACACCTCATAACACCTCCATCGCTGTTATGGCTGTTATGCCCACCCTACCATGAGCATGACACCTCATAACACCCTCATAACACCTCATAGCACTCATAACACCTCCCACTGGTCGTTATGACAGCCAGCAAGCAGCATAACAACCTCATAACAGCTGTTATGCCTCGACCAAAACCGAATTTGAACTTTCTGTCCCACGGATTTTTTTCAAAGGAGGGGCCCCGCCCGCGCGTATCCCGGTGTTTGTTCAATAAAATTCTTCTTTTGGAGCGCCCGCCCCGCGCCGGTAGCTACTACCAGCCATTCAGCCAACCATGGCCTACCGGATGAAGATGTTCAAGAGCCAGAAGCCCTCGTCATTTGACCTGCGCGTCTCCGACGTGGTGCGTGGACCCGGGACGG